TTAATTAGACCTGCTTTCTGATTTAGCTAAACTTTTTCCAGCCAAGTGAAGCACCACAACTTCTCTTTCAGGTAATTGTCAGCAACACAGCAGTAAATATCAACACAAAGCAGATTATTATTGTAGATCACACAGGGAGAACAAAGGGTAAAATATTTAACTGTAGCAATGTTTGAATATATTCTGCACAGTGAGAAAACCTGAAGTCATTTTCAAGGTCCACCATTTCTTACTTCTTTCAGTCGATCAAGTTTCTAAACTTTCTAAATCTTTGTTTTCCAGCTAGTGAAAAGAAAATAGGATTCTACTGAATCTCTTATCTACCTACTCCAGGACTTCTGCAAGGATCAAATTAGATGAGGCATGTAAAAATGCTTCACAGACATTCGGTTAAACTGTAAACCAGGGGTCCTCAAACTTTTTAAACAGGGGGCCAGTTCACTGTCCCTCAGACCGTTGGAGGGCCGGACTATAGTTAAAAAAAAAAAACTATGAACAAATTCCTATGCACACACATATCTTCTTATTTTGAAGTAAAAAAACAAAACGGGAACAAATACAATATTTGTGTTTGCATGTGGCCCGCGGGCCTTAGTTTGAGGACCCCTGCTATAAACTGTTTGCACCTGGCTATAAAGCAAGTCATGTTCCTGGGCTGAAGAAACTCCAAGGAGGCTAGTCGCCAGGGAGAGGAAGCTGGGCGTTGCTATGTGACGTAATTACCCGGAGCCCACAGCCACCGTTTCTGGGCTGGGCTGGGCTGTGGGCTGCATTTTGTGCCATGGGGTCTTGGCAACGTTGGCTGCGATTTGGTGGACTGTGGCTCCGGGGTGGTGGCGGGGCCTGTGTCCCATTGGGGGAAGCCGAGTGGTGCTTTGTCAGCGCCAGGTCTGTGGCGCCATCTATACTATAAAAAGCCCATGGCCATAATGCCATAAGCCGTCACAACCAAACAACTGGTCACCATGAAGGTGGGGTGGGCGGGGCTGCGAGGGCAGCAGGGCGGTGCGCAGGTGGGCGGGGCCACACAATTTCTCACACTGGGCTTCTAGTTTCTTTATATATGGGCAGTTCACGTCACTGCAGCTCCTGCATTGAATGTCTGCTCCCTGGTGGTCACTGTGCATCATAGCGACGGGTCAGACGGTTGGAGGGACACATAGCATATTAGCTTCTTATATATATAGATTACAGAGTTATCACACACATTGTATATTTCTGTCGAGAGATTTTACAACATCTCTTGTAAGAATTTTAAAAATATATAGCAAGAAACTTAAAATTATTTCCTTTATCCAGTATTTTTCTTTTTAGGAATCTATCATGTTAAAATAATCATAGTCATAGGAAAATGTATAGATAAATATCACTGCACCATTACTCATAATAAAATTTGAAAAATCAAAATTTCAACTATTTATGAAATTATAGGACATTCACATGGATAGCATGTAGCCATTAAAAGGGTATTTTCTGAGAATATTTAATAGGAGTGAAATGTTTATACAATGTGAAGTGTAAGAAACAATAATCTTTTCTGTATTTCCTTGAAATTTCTACCATTAACTGGTATAATTATTTTTTAAAGCAAAAACCAAAATTTAAATAGTGATACCCATATCTAGATGAGTAATGATAATTTTCAGTAATGTGCCTCACAAGGTCAAGAGTGAGATGGATTTCTACTCTTTAAAAGTCTGGTAATGATGAATATAACACGCTCTACTCAGAAGGTTCTGAAAATGGGCTCCTGACCATAGCAAGAAGGATACAGTTCTGATTGACATTCTCAGGGCTCAACATCAGGAAGACAATGGTGTCTGTCTTATGATTCCCTTAAGTGCAGCTGCCTGAAAGGACTAAGTCAGGATCACCTCCTGGACTGAACTTCAGAATTGTACAGTGTGATTTCTGGGCCTTTTGCCCAAGAAAGTTCTGTCCATATATTTGCTGATGCCCGAAAGTTATTTAAAAGGGACAAAATTCTTTTTTTTCACATTAGAAGTAACACATAGGTGCCACTTAAAAATAGAAATACTATTCTGTGACCACAGATTGATTGATATTCAAACCCACCCTTTTGCATATTTTATATGAATTTAGTTACTATTTTGTTTTTCCCTAAGTACTTTGCTTTTTTTGCCTTTTGCTTCTTACATTGGAAACGTTTAAATGATCACCATCTTTTGAGAAGGTGAAGGAATTGGAAGAAAAAGAGGATACAAGGTACGGAGAAAGAGAGAGTAAGCATGGCCAGCAAATGGCAGAGAAAGGAGAATTTGGAAGTGAAGACAAATCCATGCATTTCATGATTTTATCAGTCATTATTCATGAGTTTTATATATTTTTAGACAAACTGGAGAACTGATGTATTTGCAATTACCAAGGTCAAGTGGATGTGTGTGTAAATTAGCCAGGATGCTCAAGTTTGGTCATCAGACATGTACCAACTAAACTTTGTGTAAGTTCTGATGATTGTTCTTATAACTCATATGGCAGTTGTTGTTGTTTTTTTATCCTCTGAGGTCAAGATTGAGTCAATTTAGGGCAATTTGAGTCAGATTGCTTAATGTTTGGCCAATAAACTTCATTTGGAGATTCTCACCTTCTCATAAGAGTAGGTACCCCTTACAGGTTCCCTGCCACTGATCCTGGCCACCATCTTTACTTCCACCCCATGATTCTTCACAAGTCCCCCTTTCTTATGATATGATATCACATTTTGAGCCTTTTGAAATATATATCTTTTATAAGTCTGGAAAGAGCAAAATTAATTCTCCAAGGAGGTGAAAAATCAAAGTACTTTGTAGAAAACAAATATATTTTAGGAATCTTGATTCTTTTCTGTCCTTAATATTATTTCGTAATTTCACTTATTCTTTGTGATCATCTGTTTACCTACTCCAATACTATTGCAATAACAACATCTTAAAGGTATTATTTCAAATCAACTATTACTCAAAAATCCAAGGATTAAGGTTATTTTATCCTAGGCACTAAGAACTAGAATCAGAAAGTAAAACAAGATCAAAGTTGTATGATGGAATCCAAATTCCAAGTTGATATCTCAAGTTTAATTGGTGTTTAAAGAGAAGTCATGTTCCTTTTGGCAGTGACAATAAAGGAATTAGAGTATTTCCTGGAGCATTTTGATGAGAGCCATGCCCATGTTTCTTCAAATGAATATAGTTAACCCTTCACATTTGCATAATGATTTTCATAATTTTAAATTTATTTGGTTAGTTATTGTGCAAGAAAAAGTAATTTTTAAAAGGAAAGCATTACAAATTATTTATTTCATCTTGTAAAACATTTTAGTAGGAAGAAGAGAACAATCTGATTTATTGTAATTTCAGGGAAAATATAAGGAAACCCAATGGGCAGGCATCAATCATGAAATTATTTTAATTATATTGCCAAGTAAAGAGATACAATTAATTTCATTTTTACTATGCTTATTACTGACAACTGGTACCAAAAACAACTCATTTTGGGCCCAAGATTTTATAATTTTGCATTCATCCTTAGAAGTACATCTTCCTAGGAGTTAGTAAAGAGTCTGCATGAGCATGGCCACTTACGATAATTTATATTTCAAAATATTTTTAGAAGGTAACAATGAAATCTAATACTAGTATACCTCAATATAACAATAGCATGAGTAAAGAGTGCGATACAATTTTAAACTATTTGCTTGTTTCATATCTAGTATCACTTTAATGCTGCTTGTAATCTTCTATTTCAAAATAAAGATAATTATAATATTTGCATGTATATGACATTAATTCAAAGGTTTGAATTTACCATCAAAGAAGCATATTAATACCATGACTTGTATAAATCCCACACATCTTCTTTCCTCAATGTTAGTAAACATATGTATTTCAAATGTTATAAATCCAATGACTAAAATAATTATACAAGTTCTAAAACCATCATCATATCTTTTTGCACTGTTACTTTGGATAAGCTATTGGTAAAGATGATATCTGTAATCTTCATTTTGAAGATGATTTACAATTTTAATCCAAATTCTAACTCCAAAAACAAAAATACCATTAGTAACTTTAAGAGATGGGCTATCAATTCCTTTTTAGTTGTATACAATAAATGGATTTCCTCTCTCAAGGGCTAATGTAAGAAAAAAAATTCCTTAACAAAGAAGAATGTATGGTTAAATTCACACTTTTGCTAATCCTATATATCAAACCAACAAAAAAATAATTTTCTCTTAATGTTTGATGATATAGGCATGCATACTATATTTCAAATACAAATACCAACTTAAATAATATCATTAAATGTGCTACACATATTTATAATTAAGATGGGAAAGTTTTCATAATTTGGTATAACTGCATATAGCTCAACCAGACTCAGAAATTCTAGACAAAAATCTAAGGTAATTATGTTAGTATTTTGATTTGTAGACAACTGGATATATTTATCAAATCATAAACTGTCAATGTTCTTATGTCATGTCCCAAGCCTATTAATCCTTTAACCAAAAGCCACTTGCTCATATTTTATTAATATATCCATAACTTAACTAGCATAATGTCCATTATATTTGACTAAAAATTATTTTAACTCTAATGGTAACATTTATTTTTACAAATCTATACCTTTTCCCTCAATTTTCAAAACTGTATTTTAGTGTAATAATAGGTAAGTAAAATAGTTCCATATCACCTGCTTTAAAAACAATTCAAGCTTTATAAAGTGACAATATAACACCATCAGTAAAACCTTCAGCCCATCTCATTTCCCCATGGCCATCTAAATGACACATGAGATTTTACATACATATACCCAGTTTGTTCTTAATGGATGTGCTGTAGAGGATGGTATGGTCTATGTTTGTTGCTATTTTCTAATTTTGCTCCCTTTAAATATACATGGTATTAGCTCAGCGTGCTACGTCGCGTTATAATATAGGCTTATTGACTGTCAGAATGTATTGAGAAAAGTGTAATAATTGGAATTAAGGAATTACTCACCCAGCTGAGCCTCCTGAATGGTCAGTTTACTTTCCATAGGATACAAAAGCTTGGGTGGCTTATCAGTCAGAGGAGCTGAAAAACAATAATAATAATACTGACTATAGTTATGCTACATGAACTGAAGGAGAGAACACAGTTTATTTTCTTAAATAATTTCATTCTCAGAATAGTGTGTCAAAGCATTCTACCACACAATGACTTACATATTTCAGGGAGTGCCTTTGAACTAAAGAGCTATTAGATTGTATGTGAGTCAAATATAACACTTCTAAATGGACAATTACATGACTCTATTTAAGTACTGAGTAATGACTAGTCAGTCTTTAAGAACATATGACTGTGTTTCACCAAATCTTTTCAATTTTCAATTCAGTTTTTTCCCTTTTTAATTTTTTTATATAAAATCAGGAGGCATTTCAATGATTTCTTTTCACATAAATTTTCCTCATTATTCTTAATCAAAATCCTTAGTTTTCATACCCTGGATCATACTGCCTCAAACACATACCTTAGTAATTAGATTTAGTACTTCTTACGCATATACTCTATAAATAGGGTAGCAATGTGGTATTAAATTAGTACTAGTACAAGCTGCATAATCAAGCATGCATACAAGTATTCACCAAGATCATATTTTAAAAGATACTTCCCATTTAGTCAAAATCTCTTATTACCATGATCTATTACATTTTATAGTATTTATTAATAATTTGTATGAAATACTCTTTGAATTTTAAGTTTCCATATATTTATACTCTGTGTGCTCATCAATTCATAAATTATCAACCTACAGATCTAATAGTTTAATATTGAGCACCTTGTAGACAGGTTTCCCAATGAATACTGCATTCCCAGCTAAACTAGACTATCTGGACTTTAGACAAATAGCCAGTTCTCCTTCATTAAGCCTCCATTCCCACCCTAGCAGATTGAATTGCCCAGGTTTCTTGAAATCTGTCATTGCAACTTCCAACTCTAGCAAGTACAGAAATGATCAATTTAGGGATGCTGAGCTAAATGTTTCTATTTTGAGAGCTTTCTTCCTTCCTTTCCAGGACATGCCAGTTTGGTTGATAACTGGAAGGCTGATCTAGTCAGCAGTGCCAGGAGTTGGCCACATGTCCTCATTATCAGAGGATTCAAGAATTCAATGTGCTTCAGCAACTCACCCCCATTTCTCTTTAACAGAAAACACAAGGTGAGTTTTAATAGTCCCTGTTTAGGAGACCAACCATACATAAGATCAATTGCCATTGTTCATAACTAATTGAATGCATTATTCATTCATTTTAGCTAATATTTAACACAGAGATGGAGATGAAAGGGAAGGCAAAGTTGGATCAATAGGATATCAACTGCTGTGAAATTCATGTCAAAGATTTAACATCATAATGATTAAGCTTAAATACTTTTATTTCTTACCTACAGTGATCTTAACAGATTTTTATTCTCCTATCAGCCAAATAAGTAGCTTATTCACTAAATGTTGGTAAAATAGTTCACCATTAATAAGTCAAAAAGCCACATTCCTTTGGCTCTGGTTATTAAATTTTTTCAGTGAAATACAAAAGTAACTCTGGTATCAAAATAGCAGGCTTATTCACTAAATTAACTTGGTTCATATAATCTTGTGATTATGCAGTTACAAGAAGGCGACTCAACAGTTTGTTATAAAAAGCAGCTAAAAGAAATATTCCTGTTCACACACACCCATCACTAATTTGTAGTATGAGAAAAGATCTGTAGAAAAGGATAATAAAATCTTTATGGAACACATTCATTCAAAAGTATAAAATGCTTATGTACTTCTCCACCCAACCTACCACCCATGCACATGACATAATGTTATAGCCTTAAGACCTTTCATATTACTTTCATGCAGCAACTCCAAGTAGCATAGGAATTGTAGAATGTTGGAACCAGAGAAAATTATATGCATATTAAGTTTTCTAATTTTAAAACTAGAGGCCCAGTGCACAAAATTCGTGCACTTGGTGGGGGGGTCCCTCAGCCCAGCCTGCGCCCTCTTGCAGTCCGGGAGCCCTCGGGGGATGTCCGACTGACAGCTCAGGCCCCTTCCCTGTGAGTCTGGCTTCTGGCTGAGTGGTGCTCCCCCCGTGGGAGCGCACTGACCACCAGGGGGCAGCTCCTGCATTGAGCATCTGCCCCTTGGTGGTCATTGCACCTCATGGCGACTGGTCAACTGGTTAACTTTCTGCCCCCTGGTGGTCAGGGCACGTCATAGTGAGTGGTTGAGCAGCCTTAGCATATATTACACTTTGATTGGTTGAACAGATGAGTGGACTACCGGACGACCTGACACTTAGCATATTAGGCTTTTATTACATAGGATGTGTTCCCTAAAGCCCTGATATCCACAGTGACACTCTGGGCAGATGAAGTGAAGATAGAGATAAGAGGCACCCCAGCGGGGACCTCCACCCTGAAGGGGGTGTGGCCAGCCTGAAAAGAGCCATCAGCCCCTCACTCAGGCTGGCCAGGCACCCCAGTGGGGACCCCCACCCTGAAGGGGTGTGGCCAGCCTGAAAACGGCCCTCAGCCCCTCACTCAGGCTGGCCAGGCACCCCAGCAGGACCCCCACCCTGATCTGGGTCACCCTTCAGGGCAAACCAGCTGGCCCACACCCATGCACCAGGCCTCTATCTATACTAATAAAAGGGTAATATGCTAATTAGACTGGGAGACCTTCCAGGAGACCTTCCGGACGTTCTTCTGGACAAAACCATGGTGGCAGGGCCGAGGTAGAGGCGGATAGAGGCCAAGGGGGTGGGCAGTTGTGGGTGATCAGGCCAGGATGGGACAGCAGTTGTGGGTGATCAGGCTGATGGGGGCGGGACCATTGAGGGTACCCAGACCAGCAGGTGGGCCAGTTGGGGGCGAGCAGGCCATTTGTGGGGGTCAGTTGGAGGTGATCAGGACAGTGGGGGGGGCAATTTGGAGTGAGCAGGCCAGCAGGGGGGCAGTTGGGGGTGAGCAGGCCAGTAGGGAGGGAAGGTGGGGGCAAGCAGACCAGCAGGGGGCACA